TAACCAGGTCTCCACAGCCAGCACATGAACGGAACTGAGCTTGCACATCCTTGATGTCTGCAGTGAGGCAGAGCCCCAAAGAAAACCAAGGGTCCCCCACAAATCACACCCACTACTAAAGTACCCTCAAATACAGCCGCAATACCATTTTGAGTGACATTGTAGGTCATTAATCTACAAAAGAAAAAAAAAAAACTCTGCTTTGAAGATATAGACAGATAGTTGGCTAAACTCACTTACCAGCCATGTGCTGGGACCAAAATTGAAGTCAGAAAAATAATTCACTGTATGGATTATGAAGAGTTGAAGATGTGACTGCTAAGTCCATGTGGGCCAAGGGCTGCTCTTCATATGTGCTCAAGGACACTAAACTAGGCTCTGAGGTAGAAGGAGAGAAAATAACTAAAAATAATGGCCTTGCCCTCTAACAGATTATAATCTACAAGAGGTGTGTTCAGTTTGAGCTGTCTTGGACGGTTGCAAGTGTCAGAAGCTAAACCCAAGGCAGCATAGGCCCAAAGCAGGCCTGGGGATAACACTGGCTGCAGGCGCAGCAGTAGCCAGGTGCTCAAGCAGCCCAAGGGCTGGCTTCATTCTCAGGCAGGGCATTCCGGCAAGTCCCATTCTCCCAGTTACGCCACTGAGCACAGCCTCTTTCCTCAGAGTTCTGCCAGGAGTCCTAGGTGCTGCTCACCGGCCAAGCCCAGGTCCTATGGCCATCCGAGTCCACTATCGTAGCTCCAAGGGACAGGCTCGGATGGTGTGCAGCTCCCTGGGGTGATTTGGTGGGGTGGCGTCGAGGTCCCAAAGGAGATCAGTATGGAGCTCAACAAAGAAAGCGCTGTACACGCTGGCAGGAAATCCTCGGAAGTGAGCACGCAGGACGCAGAGTGGCGTGCTGCAATTTAAGAAGACTTACCAGTTAGTAATTAATGAATAGTTCAAGTCAGTGATAGCTTCCATCTGGCCAGCACTATGCTAGTGATAAGAGGAAGATCTTGAAGAGATGGGATGGGGGAGATGGGTTTGGGTAGGTATGAAGGCTATAGAGACCCCACCACTCGCCGGTACTATTGTAACTAATATTATGATATAGCAGTACAATTAGCATAGAATTCTGGCTGCGTGTTAGAATGACTCAGAACTTTTAAAGAGATGGATGACCAGGCCTCTCCTGAGGCCTTGATTTCAATGGACTGAGGTGTGGCTCAAGTTTCAATTTATTTATTTTTTTAATTCCATAAGGTAGTTCCAGTGAACAGCTATGATTAAGAACTACAGACTCATTGGAAAACTATCTGAACCTCTTTTGGCTGACTATAGAATGTCATGATTTCGCCTTAAATTTGTTTAATACCGTATCCTTGGGTGGGAAATAGAAAACTTACAAAAACTCAGTCACAATGGCTTTTTATACTCAGAAGCAGGGAAACATGTTTTGGCAACAATTCATTCTAACAAGACTGTCTCACACATAGTACCTCCCCCATGTCTGTACTGAGATGCTTAGGAAAAATATCTGAATAGACACATCTCCTGTATGCTTTCAGAGGACGTTTCTCAAAGCAGAAAGTGAAGAAGAAATTTTTGCACATCTGGGATTGGATTACATTGAACCACAGGAACGGAATGCCTAAGAAAATGTTATTGACATATTTCTGCTCTTTTTGGGTCAAACAAATTATGCTTCATATTAATAAAAGATGCCTTGGGAAAGTTTGGAATTCCTTAGGTCTTGCTGAAATGCAGATTACTACTAAAAATAAATAGCTTTGAAGACATGATAAGGCACCACTTAGGAATAAATTATGCTCTAATAGGCGTGTTTGGTGCATGACTGCCGCTTAGAATTCTCGATGAATTCCTCAATAGAAAGGTCTTAGTGCTGGGGGCACAACCAGGGAAGGAAGTCAAAGCCCGCTTTGTCGCATTGTAACTCAAGTTCTGTACATCTCCAATAAAAATAAAAGACAAGATGATGGAGTCTTCTTTTTTTACTCAAAAATTAAAATATTTTTAAACACAAATGAAGTTATAAAAGAATAAAGACGTTATGATCTATCCTGAAAGGACAAACAAGTTTAAATAGAAGATACAGGGGTCCCTAAGGGAACTCCGGGTTCCTTGTGGAATCTGTGGAGCACAGGGTGCTAACTCTTGGCTCTAGGCTGAACTCAACATGGCTCAAAGCTGACTCCTCTTTGGCCCCTGAGGAGCTGGGTCTGCAAGGCTCCTGATACGGGGGTATGTAAGGGACATATTGTCACTGCTTTCACTCAGAAGGAAATATATCTTTGTTTATTCCATTGAAACTCTCTCAAGAAGATAATCAGCTTAGTCTCTTTATCTCAGGGCACCCAAGACAAGAGAGACAGCCGTGGCTCTGGCAGCCTCTGGAACTCTCGGTACCAGATCCGTTTGGACGGTTGGCCTCTCCCATGAGGCCACAGACAGCCCACATTCCTTGGTGGGACCTAAAAGTTCCTCTGTTTCAGCTGTCAGTGACCCCAGCCTTCCGAAGAGCCAGGGGTAGAGTCTGATGAAAGCCTTGGGGAGGAAGCATCGAGAGGAGAGCCAGGCAGAGGTGGTCACTGGATGCAGAGGCCCCCGGCCAGAGCTGGTTTCCAAGGAGCGGGGGAGGCGGCGGTGGAATTCGGAGTTCTTGCCTGGGCTTCATGGCTCATTTTCCACCAGGTGTTTTGTTTTGTTTTACATTCTGGTTTAACCTCCATTACCCAGGCCCTTCTAATTCAGATTATGTCCTGAGGCTCGGTTCAGGCAGTATCTAGAAGGTGGGCTATCAACACACAGCAGACAAGAGTAGCGGGAGCCCTCAGGAAGTGAGAACAATTCCATCAGCCCTGATCTCGGGGGGTGGGGGGGCACCTGACCCCGGACTAGAAGCCCAACAACACTTTCCCAGCAGGCTAAGCAAATGCATGTGTGCAGAAGGATACTTGAGTTAAAGGTCCTCCAGACACACCACCAAGCTTAAATAGCCCAGAGACAAAGACTTCATGGACCTCAAAGGTTGGGTAGCTGGGCATCCCGCCATGCACACCTTGGACAAGACCCAGTACCAAACAACTTCTGTTCTTCGGGTCCCATGGACCCCCTCAGCTTTGTCCATCACTTGCTGAATTTCTTGCTTATGTTTTTTAGGAGAATCAGATAGTGTTGGCCCAACAATGTATCATAGATCACATGATCACTGGTTGCTCTCCAGCCAACAGGCAGGCTGCCTTTGAATGCATCCCATGAGCCACTGTTCTTGGTTGGCTGGAAGCATGCCTAGGTAAATGTGTGCAAATAGTGCGTAGCAATGGGGTGCAGAGTTGCTCCATTTTGAAGGCTGTGTTCATCCACTTCTCCATAGGAAGACTGGCTGTAGTCAGCTGACACTAGAAGTAGCAAGGATAATAGTCACAGAATCGGAAAAAGTTGGAGTTGCAGACTGGGACAGACGCCCAGGCCATCCTCCACGCGGCCCCTCAGAGATAGAGAAGGCTTAAAATCTGCTCCCACAGTTCCTCATAACCTCTGTCACGAGAGAAGCTACATCCTCAGCCCCACTGAGGAGTTGGCAAGCGTGGTGAACCACAGAAGTGGGCCGTCGGAGATTAATGCCTGGAATCCAGCTCTCCTCGCCTGCTTATCTGCTGCTCTCGGACAACAGCCCTGTCAAGCAGGAAGAGAAAATGAACAACAAACCGATGATGGAAGAGATGAATGGCTAGCCAGCACAGTAGTAGGAGAGCTGTCTCCTGGGGATTAATTGACCATCTAGCTAAGGATAACACTATCTTAGACATGGGGGCAGGGTTGGGAGAAATCCTTGGGGTGAAGGTGACTTCCTAGTGAGGAGATTGGATTGGACTGGAGCTGAGGGGAGGATTTGGATCCCCCATTAGCCTCATGTGCAGCAGCCAGGGAGTTCACTGTATTCTACAGACAAAAAGGCAGCTGGATTCTGGGTCTGGAGTGAACTTTCAGAATGCCCTCACTGAGACCTCCATCACACGCTTCAAACTTAGAAGGGAGAAAGAAGCGGTTACAGATGCCTAAACTCAAAATCTGGCAGCCCATTGGTTAACTATGGCACAGACACATGGGTTTTGTTTAGTTATTTGGTTGGTTTGCTGATTTCTTTTTATCCTTTGTTGGGTTTTTAGAATTTTTAAAATTCATGGTCAACATTTAAAATTAGAGGGCACATTAAAGAGAAAGCCTTTTAAGGCCTCTTAGAAAACAAAACGCAGTGTTGTTCCCACCGCACACCTCTGTGCTGGGGCTGCCACCGCTGCCCTGTCGCAGTCCGGCCACAACCCTCAAGGAAGTCCGATCTTCCGACTGTCCCAGTGTCTCCCAGATGTGCTATTTAGTACCACTGTAGGCAGCGCGGAGTGGGACATCTACACTGATGCCATCAGGAAACACTTAATGAGAGTCATTGTTTTTCTGGACATAGAACAGAAAACAAAGTTCTCAAAACTCTGTATGAAAATAAACATGAAGCTTATATTCCATAAAGGTACCTACTGTGCTTAAAAACTATCATGGCTGAGCTGTAAAAGGCTCAAGGGAACAACTTCTGGCCTTGCCAGTCCTACGGCTGACCCACTGCTATTATGGACCGCTGGACTACATTGGATTATTCTGCTGAATTCATGCACCTATAATATGTAAATGGCAATGGAGTACCCATCTCTGACAAAACTAAACAAAAAAAGGGGACACAAATGAGGACCATTTTGTACTGAAATATATATATGTATATACACAAAATAGGATAGAGATACAACTACTTTCTCTTAATTCAATGGGAAGAAAGATTTGTACTAATAGTGTTTGTGGACAGGACATCATGTCTGCATCTTATACTATGAACAGCCACTACGAAGACAACAATATGCAATGTATTAATTATTGAAACTGTCCTACTAACCTGTTTCGAAATTGTCTCATTGCTATTTGTTTCTGAATAAAATTAATAAAAAATAAAAACAATGATGGTTTTCTGTTTGTGGCAGTATAAAGCTTTTTTAAAAATACACTGATCTAATAGGAGCATGGATCAGTGACTATACAGGCATGCGCCTAAGAACTGCGTATTCCCAGGGACAGGGGATGTGGCGAGGACGGGGCGGGCAGAGGAAGGCCAGCGGCTGGGTGGGGAATGCGCAGGGGTCCCCTTGACTGCCGAGCCCCAGGCCTGACCCTCTGAGGGCCCCCCGCCCCCGCACACCATAGCACCGCGCACTGATCTCCCCAACAGAGAACCTCGGCAATTCTAAAGCAGCTTTATTTTAAAAACCCTACTGGAAATTCTAGAATGCCCCCTGCTGCCGTGAATCCGGTACTTCGCTCGCGGTAGAGATTTACCGTGTGTCCGTCAGAGTGACGACCAGGTTATCAGAGCTCAGCCTTCTCGAGTGCGCCCCAGCGTGGGAGCGGCGCGCCCTCTGGTGGCTTCCGGAAGACCCTTCCGCGACAATACAGTACCAAAACCTAGAAGCTCAAGCCAGCCCTTCAGGCCCTTTGGGACCTTGCAAGGCCATCCCTTTCCTACGGAGCACAAAGAAGAGCTGTAATACCATGTTTGAAAGGGCCAAGTCCACAGGCTGTTGCCCTCTAGCTACTAGTCAGTGACCCTAGACGACTTACCTAACCTCTCTGAGTCTTAAGTGGTTCCTTTGACCGCATCTGCTAGTGGGTGAATTGAGGTGATGCTGAGAAATGCTTGATTCCGAGGCCTCGGGGCAGAACGAGCTCATCACACCTCCAGGGAAAGACACCTGGGTGGACGCAGCACACCACTGCGGGCGTCTTCCACAGTGAGTCCCAAGCTCCCAAAGCCTGAGCAGGAGATGCCAGTGTCTGGGTCTCGGCCTTCCAGACCTGAGCCTGCAGGGATCTGGCCAGTACCAGCCATACCAGCTGAGATGTTCTAAGCATAAGGCTCTGGACGAGAGACAAAAGCCCACTCGGATGGCCCCAGAGCCTCTGTGGGTGACGGGGGCAAATGTCCACGAGTATTCGGAGCTTGGCAACCTTTATCTCTGAGGTGGATGAAAGCCACAGTGGGGATTAGTTTTATGTATTTCAAATATATTTTTATCAACGAAGTGTACTCTAAGCATGTCAAATTCTACCCTCCCCCATGTACAGTATATCAAAGAACCCCCAAGAAAAACATACCCTCCTCAGTTATAATTAAGATCATTATTCGTTTTTATGTATTTAGTACAGGGTCTACAGGGCCTACAGGGTCTCACTACACAGATCGGACTCATAGTGATCTCCAGTTTTCAGCCTCCCAGGTGCTGGGATTACAGGCGTGCATGATCACACCCAGTCTCAGTGCCATCCCAGGGCACCCTAGGGGGCGGGACCAGCACGGACACTGGGGATTGAACCTGGTCCCTGAACCGGCCTAAGTAAGCTCTTTAGTCCGCTGAACTAGCTGGCCAGCCCAAGATCATTACTCTTAACGCTTCGTTGCAGACTTCTATTATCGCTCAAAACACATTGTTTATAGTCTTCAGGACCAATAAAATTAATGGCCCACAGCTTCAATTTCTCATCAGTAAAACTGACATAGCAACATTCACATCATGTTCCACCGGAGGTTGGGGTA